GCAAAGATACTAATAAAGCAACTAAGGTGTTCTGGGCTGGCTAGAGCTCTCCTAAACAATTCTAGGAGCAAGGTTACACAAACTATGCCACTAGTACTTTAAGTAACAAAGGAGCTCCTACACATGCTAGTAAGCAAAAGCACAAAGCTAACTAAGCTCACTAGCAATGCTCAATAACAAGGCAACCAATGCCTAATTAGAGAAGCATAATATTTAGCTATACAAACTAAGTAATGTGACTAACAAGGTTACTAAAAAACCAAATTAACCCACGTAAGGCTACTTCTATGCTACTAAAGTAAGAAGGTAACTAGTAAGCTACACAAGCTAACTAATTACAAGAGCAACTACACAAGCTTAATATATATAAAAGTAATTGCAAGCTTGTGTAATGGGGATGCAAACCAATGGGAAGAACAAGGTTGACACGATAATTTTTTCTCCCGAGGTTCACACGTGTTTGCCAACACGCTAGTCCCCGTTTGTGTCTTGTCGCTCACTTGGTGGTTCGGTGACTAATTAGCATCACCCGCTAAGCCCTTGCGTAAGCGCCTGCAAGAACCTACCCCTTGAGTGAGGGTAGCTCAATGACACGCGCTACTAAAGTTGCTCTTCGCATGACTTCATGGGCGGCAGAGCACAAGTACCCCTCACACAAGCACTTCTCGCAGAGCGCCTGCACAAGCTTCTTGCGGGCTTGGCGAGACCACCACCAAGCCGTCTAGGAGGTGGCAACCTCCAAGAGTAACAAGCACCTTCACCGGCTTGCACACGACCACCTAGTGCCACTCGATGCAACCTCGATGCAATCGCACTAGAATCGCTCACTCACACAATCGAATGATCACTATCAAGTATATGTATGATAGAGGCTCCCAAGCACTCACAAGCATGGACACTAAGTCCCCTTAGGTGCTCAAGACCGGCCATGGTCGAGGGGCCACTTCTATTTATAGCCCCAAAGGCTAAACTAGCGTTACCTTTCACTGCGGGCAGCGGTCGGGTCCGACCGGGCGCTTCCCATCACGGTGTTGGCCGGAGACTGGACCTCGGACCTCCGTCGCTTATGCAGACCCACGTGTCCCGATTCCAACGGTCACTTGACTTGGCCGAGACATGTGAGCTTTCAACCGACCGGATGTCAAACCCTCAAATTCTAGTCGTTCCAAGAAGGTACAAACCTCGATCGACGACGCATCCGGTCACACTTGATCTGGACGCGCCAATCACTTCCCACACTCCGCCTCTGCTAATATCATGTGACGCCAATACCTGACCGGGACGCGACGCGCCAATGTCCCGGCAGCAATCAGATCCGGCGTCCGTCGATTGACCGACGCCAAAGATCTTCAGCGACTAACTCGTTTCACTTCTAACTTCATCACCCTTTGATCTAATGTGCTAACCACAAGAACTTGCATCCCCTGCAATAGAAAATAGGCATTCTATTTTCCAAAGCGCCGAAACCCATCTCACCCTGCAAACACCACCTCCTTTTGTAAATGTGCCAACACCACCAAGTGTACACCACCATGTGTATGTGTGTTAGCATTTTCATAATCATTTCCCAAAGGATGTTAGCCACTCAACTTGCCGCGCCACTCGATCCTAGCTGGACAATGCAAAGTTAGATCACTGAGTGGCACTAGATGACCGATATGCAAACAAGTTTGCTCCTCTTGATAATACGGTCATCTATCCTAAACCCGGTCATAAACTTCTCTACACACCTATGACCGGTGAAATAAAATGCCCTAGGTTATACCTTTGCCTTGAGCATTCCATTCCATCTCCTTCAATGTCGATGCAACACATGCACCAACACGATCAACAATGATATGATCCACTTCATATCATCACATGATCATATTGGTTCATCGATCTTGACTCTACTTGCTCTTCATAGATTTGCTATCATCCATCGACGCCAAGTCTTGCTCAAGCTTCACCGCCACGCGATCCATCACTCTAAAGCCTTTGACTTGCCCTTCACGCGTAGCAACCGGTCCATCAAGCCAAGTCTTGTCTTGATCTTCTCCACCTTGATCACATGACTCAATGTCATGTCTCATGTGCAATAAGCTCCTTCATCATCACATGTGTGAGCTTTGCAACATCTCCAAGCCATTTTCACCTCCATGGCATATGTTGCTCATACACATGTCACGCGTGGACTAATCACCGTGATATCTCACATAAACACAATTAGTCCACCTAGGTTGTCACTCAATTACCAAAACCAACAAGGACCTTTCAACCCCACTACAAACTTCGAGCACCTAGACCCAGGAATAAAGTCAGCAGCATGCACCTTAAACCGAACGTAGGGCACGTTGCCTAAACTTGATATAAACCACATGTGTCATTGAGTGCTAAGGCCACCTCCGATCTCAACGTGACGGCAAAACTATAAATATTTACTAGTTGGGCACTTTTTGCACCAACAGTATTTTTTTATCCAACTTTTTCTTCCTAAGTCTTTGACATGGCAAATTTTGATTGCAAAACCGAACAGGCCCTAACTGCCTGCATTTTGTATGGGCTTCGACAGATCAGAGACCGGTGAAAGAATAAAGTGGAAATCTAAAGAACAAACAAGTAATTTACCATAAGATTTTACTTGATATGTCGGCTTTGGGGCTAAAAGGTTACTGAAGCATGTAGAGGAAAAGGGTACATGATTATGTAATTGTGAAAATCCATCCAAACTAACACACGAATCAAAAAGGAGTCCCAATGGCCGGCCCTCGAAGTATATATTCTGGGGTGTTCTTCTTAGGTATTCATTGAAAGATTAGATTCACTAGACCATAATAGGAGGGATCAGAATTAAGCACAGTTCCTTTGGCGGTATGGTGTCAGGGGTCTAGACCATACATATAGGAGATGCTTAATTTCCACCTGAAAATTAATTTGCTTTCATTAGTTGAGAAAGATAGCAGTAATACAACAACAACAATAAAGCATTTAAGTCCCCAAATAAGTTGGGGTGAACTAGAGTTGAAACCAAAAAAAGCAATCAAGGTTCAAGCACGTGAATAGCTATTTTCCAAGCACTCCTATCTAAAAGCTAAATCTTTGGATATATTCCATCATTTCAAGTCTCCTTTTATTGCCTCTACCCAAGTTAACTTCGGTCCTCCTCTTGCCTCTCTTCACGTTATTATCACGCTTTAGATTCCACTCACGCACCGGTGCCTCTAGAGGTCTCCATTGGACATATCCAAATCATCTCAACGGTGTTGGACAAGCTTTTCTTCAATTGGTGCTACCCTAATCTATCACGATATCATCGTTCGAACTCGATCCCTTCTTATATAACCGCAAATCCAACGCCAACATACATCGCATTTCCATGACGCTTATCTATTGAACATGTCGTCTTTTTGTAGACCAACATTTCGCACCATACAACATTAAGCAGGTCTAATAGTCGCCCCTATAAAACTTGCCTTTTAATAATAACAATCCATATATATTTGGCAACCTAAAAAGTTCAGCAAGTACAGTGAAGCCTTCCTTTCCTTCAGCATACTCCCTCCGTACTATAATAAACTACCGAGTAAGTCAAATATTTTTAAATATATATTATAAATATTAATATAATTAATATCATTAGATAATTCATTAAATATATTTTATAGTAGAGATATAAATATTGCTAATATTTTCTATAAATTTAGTAAAGTTTGAGAACAAGTCTTATAGCGACTCTATTTATGGTTTGGAGACGGAGTATAATCTCTGCTATACATACAGGAAGACTCTGACTACTGGACATCATCTCATCTCATGTTATGTCACTATATGTGAGGGTCAAAGGAACATCAAGTACCATAGTGTAGTAATCCATCAGCAGCTTCTCGTCAGTGGAATGGCCACTGCTTCCGTGAATAAATTGATCCTCAGTTTCCTTTTTTCTTTTTCTTTTTGAATATAAGAATACGTCTAGTTTAGACTATTATAACTTCGTATGTATTGGACTTCCTGATTTATTGGCATGCTTTTGGCAACAGCTGCTAATGCATATTATTTTACACACTATATATGCCTGGAACTGGAAGCAATTTCAGAGAAATTCTTTGTGACGAGGAGCCCTTGTATTTAATGTCATGACATGAAATATTTAAAATAGCATTCCCTTCTTTGTTGTAGACCATGGAAAGAGTCACTTCAATGAAACTAGCAGACTGCGAAATCCTTGTGCTGGACCAAAAGGATTCCTGGAAAATGAATCCTCAAGTATACTGATAGACCAGCACAGTTGCTCATATACACCTGAAAAATGAATAATAAGAATAAAAAGAGGAAGAGATACAGAATGGAGAAAGCTAGCGCATCAGCCTGGGTACTAAATTAAAAGAAGAAAAGGTTGTCACATACATAATATACACAAGTTCCATCTAAGATTTCGCATTATATTCATGGACATTGATAATATCCTTCCATTTTATATAGCACCTTAGCATGAGCATGGTATAGCAGCCTTAACGTTAATGCAATCAAAAGAGGAAGACTCTGGGTGTATATAGCTACGCACCCGGCGACAATAAGTGACAGGTCATCAAACGACACTAAGGTTCAAATCTACCCAGCAATGTAGGTATGTATGTACCACCAAAATAGAACACAGACAAGGCAGCAAGTTACAACAGGAAAAGCCAACAAACAAGCACCATATACGAGGTCATCAGTGTTTGCCTGATGTTGGAGGCATCGAGCATCTGACTGTAATGCCAAGAAAGTGAGTCATGAGTGCGTCATCATTACCGTCCTCACCACACCTGCATTATAATACCACTGATCCAGGATGAGCTCATCACGAAGAAACTATCTATATATCGGTACTAGTAGTAGCCAGCAGCAAACACTGCACTAGCCATGGGGTTCCCCGGAGCTGGAGTTGTCGGAGAAGCGCCCCCCAGCTTAACTTCACAGAGCCAGCGCCACCTTCCCCTCCACATACTTCCTTGACCAACTCCCGGCGCCCCACGTCGACAATGGCAAGGACGATCTCTCCTACATCTCACATGCTCTTGGAGGAGGACACTATCGACAGCTTTTGTACCAATACCCCAACCACCCTGCTGCACTCCTCACCGCCGAGCAGCCCCTTTAACCAGATCCTCTCCACCGAGCATGGCACCTCTGACGGCTTCACCACATGGCCGTGCAACTCTGTCCAAAACACCCAGCTGCAGTTGTCGTCAGTAGTGGCCACACCTGAGTACTACTCGTATTGCGACATGATTGCCTCCGAAATGCTGCCTGGTGACAACATGGACAGCACACAACACGTCGTCGGTCAGGATGCATCCTCCTTGTTGATGAACAGCATGCAAGAGGCGGCGGCGGCGGAGCCCAACAGATTGTTGCCAGCAGCCAAGAGCAGCGACTGTTGCATGGACGTGATCAGCATGGCATTCTTCAAAGGCATGGAGGTGGCCAACAAGTTGCTCCCACTCAAGGACAGCGAGACGACATTGGCTCGTGGTAGGGGCTGGAAGAAGAGGCTTCAAGGCAAGGACAATGATGCAGACGTCAGCATGGGCAGGAGCAGCAAGCAGAAGGTGGCACAGACACAAGCTGACTCAGAGGAGGAAGCCGCAGCACGCAAGATGCTGGACCGGTTGATGCTTAACGACAATGCAAGCCATGCTGCCGACGTCCAGCAGGAGCTAATTATTGGCCCCATGGAGTTGGAGAAGCCATGAGGAAGGCGTGGCGCTGGCGTGAGCCATACGGCAGTGGACCTGCGGCGCCTTGCTCATCCGATGTGCAGAGGCTGTGGCCGCAACGACCAGCAGGGCGCGGCTGACCTGCTGCAGCGGATCAGGCGTCACTCGTCACCGACAGGGGATGGGACGCAGCGGCAACGCGCACTGCTTCGCCCAGGGGCTGGAGGCACGGGTGATGGGCATTGGGAGCCAGATGTACCAGTCGCTTTGCGGCAAAGAGCGCATCCGCTGCCGGCATCCTCAAGGTCTACAAGCTGTACATGGCCGCATGCTCCATTCTCCCGTTGAGATTCCCCTTACCAACAAGACCACCTACAAAGGCTGTTGCAGGGAGGAAGAAGCTGCACGTTGTCCAATACGGTTTAGGCCCTGGATTCCATTGGCCAGACTTGCTACGTATGCTGTCACACAGGGAGGGTGGCCCGCCTAATGTAAGGCTCACCGGCATTGACAACCCACTGCCAGGGTTCCATCCAGGGCCAGCTCATTGAGGAGACAGGGCGCCGCCTCAGTGACTGTGCTCGCCAGTTTAGGGTCCCATTCAAGTTCCATGCTATTGCAGCGAAATCAGAGGCTGTCCGTGCTAAGGACCTGGACATTGATCCTGAAGAGGTGCTCGTTGTCATCTCCCATTTCCATTTCAGGACCTTGATGGATGAGGAGTGTCATCATCGACAGGCAAAACCCCAGAGACACAGTGCTGAAAACATCAAGAAGATGAGGCCAAAAGTGTTCATCCACGCCATCCTCAATGGATCATACAGCGGTGCTTTCTTTGTGTCAAGGTTCCGTGAGGCGCTCAACAATTTTGCTGCGCTGTTTGACCTGATAGACACCACTGTGCCCCAGGAAAACAAGAACACGCTGCTGGTAGAGCAGGAATTGTGCGCGATCGCCATGAACATCATTGCCTGTGAGGGCGTGGATAGGGTGGGCGGCCTCACAACTATAAGCAGTGGCACGTGCGGTGCGGCGAAAGCAGGGGCTGAGGCAACTGCCATTGGATCTGGACATTGTTCAGAAGCGAGCAAAGACAAGGTGAATAAGGAATACCGCAAGTACTTTCGTTATCAATGAGGATCACGGTGGCTCCTCAAGGGATGGAAAGGTGAGTGCTCTCTGCCATCTCCACGTGGACGGCAGAGGATGATAGATCTGACTTGGGAAATGACCAGTGATCAAGCTTATTCTTTTACAAACCATATAGCTGAGAAGCAGTTTCAGAGATAACTTGATGGAAAAAGGAAAAATAACCTTGTAGATTATATATGAATCATGGTGAATGCTGCTTTGGGTTTTGAATGATTGATGGCTAAGCTACTATAGAAATTTGCAACTCTTGCCTGAATGCATACATGATAAATCTGAATAAAAACATGTACCAAATAATAAATTTAGCATGATAATAATGTTAAAGCCATGTACCAACACATTTTGTGAGCAGTTTTGTTCAAGATCATAGATAGTATCTTTTAATTAAACTGTACAATCACCAATAGGATTCCTAGAATATGAATCCTCAACTATACTGATAGACTGTTCACAAAGTAGCATAAGCGTTCACCAAGTATCTAAACTGCACAATTACCTTTCATTGCAACCATCATGCGCATAGAGATCACAGAGAACCGACAATGTTCCTTGACACTATAATCGAACAGATAGCCTTTGAAACTACCACAGATTGTTTGTAACAGTGGCACCTGAGGAAAAAAAATTAGGGGTAAAGAAAATGTCAACATGGATAACAAAACAATCGATATCAACAATGGTGAATACTACAAAAATAATATGGCCCGCTTGACCAACGATAGGTCCACTGGGATATACGTATGGATGTGTCAAGTATCCAAATTCACACAGCATATACCATCAAAATATTGGAAGGGACAACACAGATGTACCCCAGGAAGAAACAAAGAAATAAGCACCATATACAAGGATATGGTGGCCTGCAGTTCTGATGAGTTGACCTAAGGAAGGTATTTAAATGGACGACGGGTACATGCCCCGGAGGCAAAGAAAAATCATAACTTGGTACAGGCTTCCTCTTCAAGAATACAGTCACCCTTGAATTCGTTAACTATAGTTGTTCCAACAATGTACGGAATTTTCCGTTGACTTTTTCAACTGTCCTCATGTTCAAGAATATGTCAATGCTCATCCTTCATCTGAGCCCACAAGAAGATTATTTGTAGTTTATGCATCTAGTAAGATTTCTGACTAAATCCAAATGCAGGTCTAATAAGGTAGAACCATGCATCTATCTGTTTCACTCACTGATTCTTTACAGAGTTTAGAAGCAGCAAAAAGACAGTTGGGTTTTCAGACTAGAATGCACAAGCAACCAAGGTGTAATTCTGGATGTTAAATTTTAGGTAACAAATGAATTTGGCTCATATGATAACCTTGGAGGAAATGCATGACAACTAGATTAAGGACATTATATATAAAAGTGACCATAGTCCATAGGCAAAAAGAACATGTACATGCTCCTTCACAGAGCTGCATAGATATTTCAAAATTTTATCTTTATGTTTCTGGGTTTAGTTTCAGTAAATTACAAAAAACCTGCTGCAAGTCTGGATCTGAAGAATTACACTGCCTATACTTTCAATTACCAGGCATTACTATTGCAGAGGTACATCTTCCTCACCAAACCATCTTGGAGGATCATACCCATATCCGCCTGCATGTACATCAGACAGGTCTAAGTCCTACAAATGTGATGTGATACAGATCTATACATATATGAAAATGTCAAACAACAGAGATAATTAAGCACACACAGAAAAATTGCATACCAAGAGTATTACAATGGCAAAGGCGCCAAGCAGTCAAGATTGTACCCTTTACGACACCATATCGTTTGTACGCCTGCATAGAGTACTCACTGCAAGTTGGTACATATCGGCAGCTTGAAGGCAGTAAAGGTGATATTTCTCCTGTTCACACAAAGCAGGGCTGATGAGCAATCTATGTAGAAATGAGATTGTTCTTAAAATCAAAGTTCACAATTATTGTGATGTTAATTGCTCATTCTCAAATCCCAGGAATGAAGCAGAAAACAAACTCAGACTGCAAACCGCAAATGAACTTACGTTTGTAAAACTTTAGCATGGATAGCGCCACATTGACTCCCAAATCCTTGACTTCCTCTGCTGAGAATCACAATATGCACAGAACGTAGTCAAGCAGACCTGTTTGGAGAAGTGCACTAAAAAAACAACTAAATTTCTAGAAAGCGATGTTCAATCCACTATCTTCTAAAATGTTTGTTTATTCGTTTAACAATCTGTGCCCCCAGTCCTAAACACATGATTTAGAAGAGCATATAATGTGCGTAAATTAGACAGCAGTGTTCTGGAGGTGACTTATATCAGATAAGATCCTACAGTAGGTTTTCTTTTTCTTTTTCTTTTCTTTTTGTTTGTAGAAACTTTTGTGACCGGAAGGTCCGGGTTCGAGTCGTGATCTCCTCGCATTATCTGTGCGAGGGTAAGGCTTGCCACTCGACACCTTCCCAGGACCCTTTGACGTAGGAGCTCTACCTGACTTGTACGCCCTTTGTTAAACAGATCCTACGGTAGGTTAACTTTCACTGCACATTTTGTGCTCCTATGCATTTATTGACTAGGAAAAAGAATCACGCAAGTAAATAAGCTCGATAAATGGAGCTACGATCCCATCAATACACTACACATAGGCCATGTTTGGGGCAGCTCTGCAGCCGCTTCTGGTGGAAAAAAGTGGGTGAGGCCTCCAGGCGCTTATGATTCCTAGGCGCTTCCCATGACCGGTGGCGCTTGAAGAGATTCTCGAATACAACTTTGAAAGTGGCTTCTCCCCCATCACGGTGCAGCCCCAACTTTTCCCCCATAGCCCCTCTCCACTTCTTCCTCACGACCCTCCTCCACAGCAGCAAACCTCCCTACGCTCCTTCGTGCAGCGGGCTCCTCCTCCTCCCCACACTCCGCCTCCGTGCGCCGAGCTCCTCCCCTAGCGCCAGCCTTCATCCCCTCATGCACCTCCTCAGTACCGGCAGCCATCCCCTGCGCCTCCCGAGCCCCGGTGGACTAAGCTCCTCCTCTGCGGTGCCGAGGTCCTCCACGCCGTCGAGCTCCTCCTCCCCACTCCGTCCCCTAGCGCCAATGGCCGACCCTTGCACACCCCTCTAGCAGTAGAAGTCACCAGGTGAGGACATGGCGGTGGCGGCCCTAGCAATCCTCTTCAGGAGAGGACAAGGCAGGTGCTAAGCATCTCTAGGCCGAGAGTCCGCTGGCGCTGGGCTACTGAGTTCTCCTGGAAGCAAAGCAAACTCCCAAACGCCATAGCTTTTACTTGCTTTTGCTTCTAATCAAAGCTATCTGTGTGGAGAGAAACGAGCTTTGAATTGAAGCATCAGCAATTTAAGCTGTCCTATACAGGGCCATAAAAAGGCCCCTACAGATCCGTTAAACACAATCTCATACATGGAAGACTACAGGCAGCGCATGAACTACAGTGTTGCTCTGAAATGAAATAACAGGGAATGTGTAAAATCAGATACTATTGACTAATCTAATCTCAAAATGACAAGATGAGAGTATTAACCAAAAGGAAATACCAAGTACCCAACTTAAAGAAACCACGAGACAACCATTTCTGGATTGCCAAATCTGGTGCCACTATACTAACCTTCGTCGTCAGTAACACAGCGGCCCCGCCACGCCGGAATCTTTCTTCTCTTCGAAACGAAGGACCGAAAAGAAACTTCTAGGGATCAAAATCAAAAAGCGAGCATGAGATTTATTGGTTTCGCGACCGATTGAACAGAATAGATATCTAACTCGAGCGACGAGAGTGGGACAAGGAGGCTCACCTGTGCTTCCGGAGAGAGGTCGCGCAGCCAGAGAACAGGCAAGAGGGAGGCGGAGCCATGGGGACAAGCAGCAGCCATGGCGGTGCTGGTGGAGGTGGTTGATGAATTTTCCACAGACCCTTTTTTTTTTTGTTCTGGATAATGGAAATGAGATAGGTTCTTTCAGGCGTTGGATCATTTTGGGCTTCATGCAACATCTACACCATGGGCCAAACAAAGAACTTTGGGCCGAATTCGTTTACTAGTCGCCTGGACGATCCTACTTATATTAAAAATAAAAAGATAAAAATGATCCTCTAAAATTCTCTCTCACTCGATTGACTAAATGTAATTGGATATAGGCCATATTTGTTTACCCTGGCTAGATTATATAATCCGGTTGATAGCTAGATTATTATAAGCAGCTTATTGGAGGTTTAAAAGGCAAAAGTTGAAAAAACCTGGGCCCAAACAGATTATGGGGGTTATCATAAGTTGAGGTCTGAACTATTCGTGGCGGAGAGTTTGTGGGCCGACCTAGCTTAATCCCGTCATTCTAAATTATAAGTTATATTTTGACTTTTTTAAGTACACAGCTTTTCTAAAGTATCGTTATATTAGATATATAGTAAAATTATGTATCTAGAAAAAACAAAAACGGCCCGATAATTTGAAATGAAGGGCTATAAACTGAGGGTAAATAAAAGATCATTAGATTGGGCCTTGCTACAATTGGTTGAAAAGTATTTCCTCTAGCCTAAATTATAAGATGTTTGACTTTTTGACTTTAAGTTTGACCACTCGTCTTATTCAAAAAAAAAGTAATATTTTGCTCAAATTTTTGAATAAGGTGAGTGGCCTAATAAACGAAAGTAGTCAAACTTGGTATCAAAAAAGTCAAACATCTTACAATTTAGAGATTGATGAATACTATTGAGCCTTGTTTGGTTAGTTTCCTTTGCTGCACTTTGAACTTTATGCATATTGCACCTAACTTTAGGCCATCGTTTGCTTCACTTCTAGACATTGGGCTTATTGCTTTGTTTCTTGTTCTTTGGATAGTGCATTTGATAGCCTAAACTTGCCGAAAGTCTAGCGCTTGTGTTCGTAGGGTGCGCCACACATTCCAAGTGAGACTAGAGCTACAACACATGGATATATGGTGGAAGCCAAATAGGCCCTACTTTTGGATTGTCATGGGAGGAGGGCAACATGATTTGTCTTCCTTATTTGGGTT